CTGTTATATATATATATATATATATATATATATATATATATATATATATATATATATATATATATATATATATATATGGGAACTATTGCTAGATAATAAAATACTTACTTGATTAAAGCTTAATAATGCATTTACCCTTTATTTATGTTAACAACTTCATTTTTATTGAGCAAATTTTTCCTCGTATATTTGTATTGATGTTTCAAATGAAGAAACCTTTAATGTAGGAGAGAAGTTTAATCATTTTTATTTAACATGTTACTTATTGTTTTCTCAACATTATATTTTTGTTATTTTAGAATTCACCGATTACCAATCGATGATCAGGTAATACTTTAATAAACAGTTAATCATTAGTACTTTTATTTATGTATTTTTCAAAGTATGATGAAAAGTTCAAACTTAAAACACTTTTTTTTTCTTGAACTTATTTTTAATTAAAAAAAAAAAAAAAAAAAATTATTAAACAAACTTTTTTTCTTAACAAAAACTCAATTAATTTTCAAATGCAATTCAATGCTTTACTTATGACCAAATATTTTCTGAATAAAATGTCACATAAATGACATCAAAACATAATTTAAATATGTCAAAAGATATAAGTTTTTGCGTAACCTAAAACTGTTGAACGCATAAGCAAATCACCTTTTTGCACAAAAAATGCGAGCAGTGTAACGTTTCTTAACAAGGCCTGTGATATTATAATGCATTTAGACATAGCTAACTCGTCTTCCCACACTACCCGAGAACTCACCCAGGGTGAATTCATGGGTAGTGTGGAAAGGGGGTTGTCACCCATTCCCCTATCTCTCCATCCTCCTTAAGAGTCAACATTATACTTTAAAATTATGAAATAAATTACTTTTTAGAGTTGAAATTGCTTTTTTAAAGTTTTTCCATTATCAATAATTTTTTTAGATTGATCATAGAAAGAACATCAATTAGAAAGGATGAACAAGTTTATGAGTAATAGACAAATATTCTACCAAAGTCAAGTTCTTTAAAAAAAATTGTTGACAGTTTTTTTGCTTTGCATTTAAAAACATTAAAAAAAAAAAACACTTTGAAAACTTTTGAAAAATGGAATCTTTCAGAAATTTTTTGTACAGAAACTGCTTAAGAGAATGAAATTATGTATGTTGTAAAAATATATGTGCCCTTTATCATGATAATATTTTGGCCAATACCAAAGGAGCAATAAGAACAGCCACATTATGTTATAAACGGGACACAGAAATGCAATCCAATTTTTAAATGACATAAAGGAAAAAAAAGAAACAAAAGCAAACGACAAAGATCAACAGGTTAATAGTAAGACTTTTTTTTTTGAGTAAGTTTACTATTTAAAAATAAAATAATATTAATTTGAGTTAGTAATTTTAAAATAATACTAATTTGAGTTAGTTTACTATTTTAAAATAAAAATAATTTTAAAAATTTAAATATGAAATAACGATTTACTACATAAATGAAGCCAACATAAAATAAGATCATCACACTGTCTAATTTCATATATTTTGAGAAATTTTTTTAAAAGTCATATATGAACTTCTAAAAAATTGTATCTTCTATTTTTACTAGGTGAAAACCAAGAAACTCAATCAAATATCAAGTTCAAATAAGTTTAAACTTTAATCATAGTTCCTATTATTTATGTGAAAATAATAATTGTTTATAATAAAATTTTAAGGATGAGTGTGCACACATCGCAGAATCAAATTTTATTGAATGTAAAGAAACAGGGTTTACTGGCAGAGAACTTATTAAGTGTTGTGCCAATACTTTACATAAAAATACTATAAAGTTCTAAAAATTGCAACTTCTTTTTGATACTTAGCAATGGAAGTTAAGCACAAAAATCTAGAAAAGAAAAAGAACTTGTTTAAGTCTGCACAGAACGCAACAGAATGTCAATTTATATCGTTAACGAGTTATTGGAAATTTCACAATTTGGTGGACGTGACTCAAACTGCTGCTATTTCAGTTGGATAATTCAATTTTTAAAATATGTACAGAAGATTATAATAAAAAACCTGTTTCTGCCACAGCTGACAGTGCAAGTGTTCATTTCGGTGAAACAATGGTGCCCTTACACAGTTACAAAAATCTCGCAAATGGTTATTGAAAATACATTGTATTAACCATAGAATCGAATTAACAGTTAAAGACGCTTTTATAGATATAACGGAATTTATAAAGATTGAAGAATTTTTTTTATCAAATTTTTACCTACTGAAAAATTTCGGTAAATTAAAAAGTCGGACACAGAATAGCACTTTCCAGTCTTCTCGAGACATGGCCAGCCAGCCTTTCTTTCAGCTTATGAAAATTACGCGAGTCAAACAAAAAATGTGAAAACAGTTGGAAAAGTAAAAGGTTTCTTAAAATTATCTAAATGCCAATCCTTTCTTGTGCTAATTGGTTTATATTTAGATTGTTTAAAAATTATGATTGTAGCTTTGAAAATTTTCGAAAAAAACATATTGTTACCACACGAAATTCCGACAACTATCAAACAAATTTTAATAGAAATAAATGATAAACAAATTTTAATAGAAATAAATGATAATGATAAATAAAATGATTGGGAAAAAAGATGAACTTTATGACAGCTTTGTAATGCGTTATTTGGTCACTGATGAAAACAAAATTGAAGGTTCCTTTCAATAAGCCAGTTCAATAAGTTGACAAACGAAAACACCCCAAAAATCGTACTTACATTAATGTAACAATGGAGACGAGCAAGTTTAATCAAGATTGAACTCAGAAGTCGAGAGAACTCTTAGCATTGTCACAAATATTTTAGAGGATAGATATTTTTCAATGAGCCATGATTGTGTTATAATTCTTAGTCAAAAGAAGAACACGATAATATTATAAACCTTTTGTTATTAAAATATATGAAAAAACAATGAAAATATGATATTGGTGATTCTGACAAAGTTAAAATAGCACAAATTCAAGTTATACAAACCTGCAGTAATACAGCAGGCAATTTAAAAAAACTAAATATATAAATTATTTTCAAATACATAAATTCATTTTTTATATAATAATTTTAAAAATGCAAGATTTATTTTGATCTAAATAAATTATTTTGTTTACTGCCAATTCAATTTAATAACTTTAATTTATTTAATCTAATTCAATTTAATGTAAGATTTTAATGACAAGTTTTATTTGTGAACATAAATTATGAACACGAATATGTTATTGGTAACTAATAAAACGTATCTATAAACTGTTTGAAAACTTTATTAAAAATAATTAATTAAATAGTTAATAAAAAATTAACGAACAATTAAGAAATTAACCCCCTCGCATAAAATAATCAAAACTACACTGTAATAAAATTGAAGATTTTTCAAACGTTTTAAGAAAAAAAAAAAAAAAAAAACCATTTCAAATATGAGTTTAAATTTTATTTGTAACTTTTGTTTTAGTTAAACTGTATAAGTTAAATAATTGGAAGAAAAAATGTTTTAATGGTTTTTAGCGCGGTTTGAAAATAACAATGCAGTACTTGATAAGACTCTAATGATGCAATTTAGCTTTTAACGATATAAATATGTAAGCTGAGTTGAATGATAAAATGCGTTAAGCTGTTTCATTACGCAGCAAAATCTCGTAAAAAGGCCTGATATCATATTTATAAATGTAGCATAATAAAACTATTATGGACAAATTATTTTGAAGAAGTTTTAAAATGAAACAGAAAATGGTAACTTTTTAATTGTATTCATCTCTCAAAGGCTGAGGGTAGGTATATGGATTTAAATTTTTAAATTGATCAAATACTAGATAGTTATATATTATTAGAGCTTCAATACAGTATTTTAATGGTAAAAATATAATTAAAATTGAACAATTCACAAATTAAACAAAAAAGTTATAACATTTTAAGCAACAAATTTTTTTATATATGGATTTGTTGAAGAAACTGTGGTCAAAATTATTATAACTTCTTTGATTTTTATTTGAATATATAAAACTTGGTATCAAAAGGAAGCTTCCCGATGAGCTTACAGAAGGAAAAACTGCCTGTCAGAAAGAATTAGATAAGTGTTTTTACTAATTTATTATTGCTCTGTTCTTTAAAAACATATAGCACTCTATTTGTAGAATATGCTAACATATCTACAAATAGAGTGTAGATATGTTAAAAAAGAAACACGGTTTTTACGTAGGAGAGCGCAGCGTATTTTAATTAGTTTGGTGCTGCGCTCATGCATAAAAACCTGTCACCCTAACTGTGGGAGCCAGTTTTTTATACATTTTATACAAAATTTATGTAAAGATTTAAAATTAATTAAAAGTAATTTTATATGCTCAAAATTTATCATTATATCATAAAATCAGTAAATCAGTAAAAAAAATTAAACAATATAATTTTCAAACTCTGTTTTGCAATTCATAACTTTTTTTTACACATATTATTATAATATATAACTTAATTAAAAAAACTATTCATGTTAAAGACTACCTACCTTATTTAAAACCTTATTTATCAGACCATATATTAAAAAAAAAAAACATGTTATAAAAGCGTGTTTTTTGACAATATCTGGAAAAATACAGTTTAGTAAGTATAAAAAATTTAAATTTAGGTATCCCTGCAGTTAAGCCTGTTATAAGTTGACCTAAAATAACTTCATTTTTTCACTTTTAAAAATTAGTATATCCTATAAAAATAGCAAAAAAATTCATTCTTGATCATCTAAAAAATATATAATTTTTTGAGTAATTTAAATTTGAATTTAAACTACTTAAAAAAAATACGCAAATGAACTACACAAATTCGATTTTCTTTTTATCACATACCTATAACCTGTTTTTTGTTTGTTTATTTTTTAATCTTTTTATGATTACTTTTCTCGTGAATCGTTCTAAAAAAGAACTTTAAATTAACTTTCACTACGAGCTTAATAGATAATTTGTTTAGAATTTATATTTTAAACATAATAGTTTTATAATGTACAAATGAATTCTTTATTACTTACCATGATTGCTGTAAGATGAAAAATCTTCTACTTTGAAATTTGATTTAAATAATCTGGATTCAGGTAAAGGGAGATTAAAAACATGTTTTCTTTGCTCTTCGTTGGCGGCTGCTAACTGTATTTGCAGGGCGCTTATTCTATCTTGAAGCGATTTACTTTCCTGGAGAACAGTTGCCATTTTTCTCCATTTTGATACTTCAAAATAATAACTTTAGAATCTAACAAGTGGACTTATATGCCTCACCAAATATTACTTAAAATTATTTATAGATTAAATGTCAACTACGCTTAAATAATAAAACTTATTTTCCGGCAACGAAAGCGATGATATCAATACACCAAAAAGTATATACAGTGAAAACACATGGTTGTCGTCCGTTGATTAGTGATATCATATTAAGTTAATACATTATATTATAAGATTAATAGCTATAGTAAATGTTATTGTAGTAATAGTTTATAAAATTCTTTTACAATATACAGTTGTGTTTATTATCTTTTATATTTTCAGTTGTAGCTATATATTTTACAGCTGTATATTGTTATGAAAGTATGTAACTGTAAATACAATAATCATGCTTTAAACAAAGCTATTTGTTTAAAAAATGATATTATCATTTATGACGTATTAGTTAAAAATTTACTATATTAGTGAAAACTTTTTCTATAAGTTGTGTATTATCTAGGTATTTTTTTTAAAATGTAAAAAATAACTAGTGTAATAAAAAATTGAAGTATAATGTTTTTGCCAATAGTATAAATAAACATTGCTATTTTATTTTTTAAATTGTTTATTACTTTAAATAATTTTTATTAAACAACTTTTTTTAAATAAAAAATAAATAATAAAACATGAAGAAAATAGATATATTGCATATCTTATTTAAATTTAATTTTCTTTGTATTATCATTTGTACTTTGTTTATAATTGTATTCAATAAAATTATTTTCCTTGCTATTGAATGTGTTCAGTGGCTTAGCAAGGATATATGCTGCTGGGTTGGAATCTGATATTTTTTTTCTTCATCGATGACCCATATGCCCAATTTATTACAAATTTCTATTGCATAAATGACTGCTTTATTAACTAATTGATCTTTATTCTCTGCTAATGATAATTTTAAAGTTACTTCTTTGGTATCATGTTGTATCATTTAATCCTTTTGTTTGAAGGTAGATCTGTATATTATTTCCCTAAGGACTGAATCCCACAATTTGATATTTAAATTTCTTGTAAAAAAGATTTTCTATCTACCAAAGTTCAGGTCCATACCTCATTCTGTTTATTAAATATTGGTTTTTAATGTCAAAAAAGCATGTTGTAAAAAATGCCTAATCAACATTGTATAATAAGTCGAAACAAAATATAAACTTTGTTATTTTCTCCCATAAGACTAATAACAAAAATCATAAAACTTAATATAAATATAACAAACTAAGTGTCATACTTTAAAATCAGTACGAAATTAATGATAATTACATAAATATTATAAAAGCCTTTTTTAATTTTAATACAAAATATAGTCTTATAAGCTTATTGGTATATTTTTTGTTCTTGTTGATCTTCTCACAGGTTGTTTGGTTGTTGTAGAGGGTTTGGTTGTTGTTGGTGGATCAATTGTCACTGGAGAGTTTATTGGTGGAAACAAGTGGTTGGTGGTATTATTGGTTCAATGGGAAATTACATTGGTATAATGTTTTGTGAATTTTCGAGTCAAGTTTCTGATGAGACTATGGGAACTGTGACCCGGAATAATGGGGTTTCTTGACGAGTTAAACGTATATAATACATGAAAACTGATTTAATGCAATTTAAAATATTTGTTGTGTCATGTTCAAATGCTCAAACTACAAAGTAGTAGGCCATATGTATATATATATATATATATATATATATATATATATATATATATATATATATATATATATATATATATATATATATATATGTATATATATATATGTATATATATATATATATATATATATATATATATATATATATATATATATATATATATATATATATATATATATATATATATATATATATATATATATATATATATATATATATATATATGGGTGGGTCAAAAAAATTTTTTTTTCTTGTTACAGGCTCTAAACATTGCTAATAGTTGTTAGTGTTGGTAGTATCAAATATGAGAATGATTGTGATAGATTTTAAGGGCGCAACTTTATTGGGAAAATTACCGGTATATATATATATATATATATACATATATACATACATATATATATATATATATATATATATATATATGTATATATATATATATATATATGTATATATATATATATATATATATATATATATGTGTATGTATATATGTATATATATATATATATATATATATATATATATATATATATATATATATATATATATATATATATATATATATATATATATGTATATATATATATACATATATACATATATATATATATATATATATATATATATATATATATATATATATATATATATATATATATATATATATATATATATATATATGTATATGTATATATATGTATATAAATAGAGAGATTAAAAAAAAAAAGCAAATACTTACTGGGACATTATCATTATCAGGGACATTTGTGTACCCGTTAATTTTTTGTCCCCGTAAACATTGTTTTTTTTTTTTTAGTATCCCCGTAAGCAACTTTTATAGAGAATGATAAGTACAAGTATCAAATAGATCAGGGTTAGGGTTACGGCAAGGTTTAAATATGGTATTACTGTAATTAACCGTTTTTGTAAATAGATGGAAAAAAAAAAAGAAATATAATATATAATAATTAAATAAAAATAGCAATAACAATTATAAAAAATATATTTTTATAACAAAGTAATAAATTTGAATATGTATAAATAAAAATTGGAATAAAATAAAAAATTTAAAAAGTTATATAAATATAATAAAAATAGTAGAAAAAAGGTAAAAAAAAAAAAAGTGTTATAGGAACAAAAAAAACCTGTCCCCGTAAACGCCAACTAGGAGTGTGTGTATGTAAATATATGTATATATATATATATATATATATATATATATATATATATATATATATATATATATATATATATATATATATATATATATATATATATATATATAATTTGATAAATGTTATAATCTAGATAAATTTATTAAATGTCATTACAAGAAGCTGGTAGTCAAATTAAAACAGAGCGTCAATCAACTGTTCCATCTACGCAACATGCCAAAGATATAAAGGTTTAGTTTATTATATTATAATATGATAAAAACCTAAAAGGTCTAATTTATATATAATAAATAGCAATATCTAATAAATATGAACTAATTTTCGTTTGGATTGAAGTTAAATCAAAATTTAAAAAAATTAATTTTTCACATTCTTTATATGTCTAATTGTAAGTAAAATCTAAAAAAAAAATGGTTTCAGAAATTTTGCTTGTGCTTACGCTACCTCAATTTTGAATGAACTTTAAAATGTTTCTAGGAAATGACATGGTATATTCATACTTTTGCATACTAAGTGCTGGTTAATTTTAGGTTAGCATGTGCAGTTTTAAAAATTCATTCATTTCAGAAGAATGCTTTAAAATTAAAATTATACAAATATATTTTACAGACATAGCAATTTTTATTTTCATTTTCCTCTTTAAAAAAAATAAATAAAGTATAGGAAAAGATCAGTCTTTTTTTTTTGTTGCTTTTTTTGCTGAATTTCATTGCTGAAAATAACTACCATCCTAAACAAACAAAAATGGAAACAGTACGATAAAAGTAAGTTAAAAGCTAAACAGTAAGATAAAAACTACTACTAAACTATTACATTAAAAAGGTCAAAAATGTGCAAAAAAAAATATTTTCTTGTTTATTTATAAACATAAATGTTAGGAGTTTGCTCCATGTCAGTAAGTTAGTTATTTACTTGAAATTCAAATTAAAGTACTTTTCATTGATTTTCAGAGCCACATTTTTATACGATTCTTAACTAACCTATAACTATTTATCATAATCAAATATTTAAAAAAAAGGGAAGGAATTTGAGGTAGCGTGTAGTTCAAATATGAGGAGGGGGAAGAGCTTTTTTTCAAAAAAAAATGATATTGGACAAATTTGTGCTAATTTAACCCCTGTATTGTTTACCAAGTTTCATCATACCTAAGAAGAGTTTTATAGTTTTTTAGTCTAATAAAAAAGCATGTTTCATTTTAATAATGTTAAAACCTTTTTATTTCAAAATATTTAAATCGTTAAAAGTTGCAATTTTAATAAATGCTTACATTTTAAACATTCCTTTTTGTTTAAACTTTTTTAAAATTCTTATACAGTAACAATTAAAATAAAATGAAACTTGCTTATTTAGAGTAACTACTACAATTAGTAAGTGGCCAGGGCCTGGCCCAAGCCTCAGCTAAAAATGGAACTTTTTACAAACCCAGCCCAGAATTATAAGATTTAGCAGGGGTTGATAGCTGGGATAAGGAAAAAATTTATAATACTTTTTATATTATAAATTTATGCTTACATTTATTACTTAATAAATACTGATATATATATATATATATATATATATATATATATATATATATATATATATATATATATATATATATATTAGGGTCGGCATATGGCAATGCCTGCCAATAACTGCTGACCTCAAAGAGTTTGATGTCGGCAAAAAATCGCAGACCTTATTTCTATGTTTTATGGTAGCCTCTTTGTTTCACATTTTTTTTGCCGACCTGATGCTGACCTCTAACAGTTTGAGGTCAGTAATTTATTACCAACCTTATTTTTCCTGATTCCAATGGTTGATTTATATATATATATATATATATATATATATATATATATATATATATATATATATATATATATATATATATATATATATATATATATATCAGGCCTTTTTATAAGATTTTATTGCATAACGAAAACGCTTAATGTTTATAAATGTAACTTTAACACAGCCATTTATATTTAATTTTAATTTGCTAGACGTAATTTTAAAAGTTAAAAATTGCGTCTTTAAGCAAATTTAAATTACCTTATTGTAGTTAAGTTTAATAGTAAACCACATTAAAATCATTTTAACTAATTTAACAAAAATTATTGGTGAAATCTAAGTTTAATATTTAAAATAAACTATATCTCCTTATTATTTATTCCTTATAATAATAAAAAGTTTCCTTATAATTTATTTCTTAAAACAATCTTATTCTTAATCTTATCTTTTGTTTCTTTATCACAACTTATCTTTTTTTTTTTGTATTAATATAATATTTTTGATAAAGATTATAAACAATTTATAGATAGATTTTAGTTACCAATGAGATATTTGTAAGTTATGTCTATAAATAAATGACATCAAAAGAATTTTACACTGAACTTTTTTTATTTTTTTTTTATTTCAATTCACCTTCTCAAGGCCATGAAGGCCACTACAGTTGAGGAGAATGTTTTTATTTTTGTTTACAACCCTATCTCAACTCTATAACTCAGAAACATGAACATTGACAAACAAGGTCGCTGCGCTTAGAAACAAGTTGAGCATAGTCTTCCAAGGACTATGCTCAACTTGTATTCCTTTAAAACTAAATTTAAATTTTTAAAATCATATTTAATTTAAAGTCTTTTAATTTAATAAAAAGTTCACAGTTGCGGTTAAAATGCTTTATTTACAACTTAATATTTTCTCAATAAACGCCACATAAACGATAATTAAAAAAGTTTAAATATTTTAAAATAAAAAAGTTTTTTCATATGTAAAATCCATGCGTCACACTTCTTAACAAGGCTATATACATACATTCATGCATGCATACATACATACATACATACATACATACATACATACATACATACATACATACATACATACATACATACATACATACATACATACATACATACATACATACATACATACATGCATACATACATACATACATACATACATTCATACATACATACAGGGCTCAATTTAATGGTCGGACATGGGACATTGTCCAGCTAAAACCTCAAATAGTCCGATCAATTTACAAAGTAATTGGACATTTTGACCGATAGAAATTAAAATTCTATAAAATAAATACTTTATTACATTTATAAAAATTAAAAGTAAAGTAAATTAAAAATAAATAAAAAGTTTTAAAATAAAACTCAAAAAACTCAAAGTTAAAATTACTTTCTGTTACATTTTTAATTACTTTTGAAATAAATTCCTTTAAAACTTATCTTTTGAAACGTTTTATTAAAGTTACGCAAAACGCTTTTACAAATTACTTCTATTGATTGTTTAATAAATAAACAAATTTTATTTAAATTATTGAAAAGAAAAAAATATAATATTTTAAGTTGTTTAAACATTTTTTTAAAAAAAAAATGCAAAAAAAAACAACCTTGTCTTTTTAAAATTGTAATTTTTAATCATTTCATTCTTTGATTAAAAGTCAAGTTTTAAAAAAAACAAAAACTTTTAAAGAATTCTTTGTAAAAAAAAAAAAAAAAAAAAAAAGAAAAGGCAATTAAATCTTGGGAAGATTTAATTTAACTTATAATTTAAAGTAACTTGAAAATAATAATCTTTTAATAAAAATTTTTTAGACTTTCTATGATAAATTTAAATGTTTGAAACTATTTTAAAAATAGTTTCAAATGTTTAAATATATTACTATCTTTAAAATAATTTCAAACATTTAAATTTAGCATAAAAAATACATACATAATTAGAAAATTTATTATAACTTAATTTACACATAATGCGTTTATTTTAAATTATAATTTTTGATTTTATTTAAAGTTTTTAAAAGTTTTGATTTTGTTTAAAGTTTTTATTTTACGCTTTCACTTAAAATAAAAACTTTAAAAAAGATCAATGATTAAAAATTATTTGTAACGTAACGCTTTTTTTTGTTTTGTTGCATTAAATAGTTAAGATATTAAAACAGCCATTGTCAAGTTGTAAAGAATAAAAAAATGAGCGTTGTCAGTTACAGCATGAAAATTCTATCTAAATAAACATACAATATTAAATAAGAACTATTTTATTAAATAAAAAAGCAAAAGTGTATGATAAAATATTTAAAATAACTAATGTTAAATAAACTTAATAACATGACAAAGATTTCGATTGTATAACTTGGTTCCGTAAAACCGTAAAAATTATATTAAAAAAATTTGATCGGACACTGTCTGACGCAAATGAGTTTCGATCGGACATTTTGTCTGGGAGAGAGAGACAGTGAGAGAGAGAGGCTTTGGCAAAATAAATGAAAGCGAGAGCGGAATAAAGCTTTCCTAAAATGATCATGACAAGCCAAGCACGCTGCTCCTCTAAACAGCTTTTTATAAGAGTTTTCAGTTTTTGCGTGAGCTATCTGTTTATTCATTAAAAAAATTGCTCTAATACAAAGTTTGATACTCATTACAACTTGTATGTTAAAGATAACAGAATATATACCTAACAAGCGTTGTTTATCAAGCCATGAAATTTTTTTTTACACAAGAGCAATTCTTGTGTTACGTGTGTGACTCTGCTACAAATATTTTCTAATAAAAGGGGTCATAAAAAATAGTTTACTACAGAAATGCAAAATATATTATTATAGTAAAAGATGTGCCTGATGTAAAATAATATGTCTCTTAATAATATGTTTATTGCAAATATTAGTAAAAGAACTGATTAGTTGCGTTACGTGTGTGAAGCGTACAAAACAATAAATTTGAATTTGAAACTGATTAAAATTTTCTGCTTATTGGCTATGACTAGTTTAATGATTTTTTCGACGTTACAGACAACATGTTGATGTTTATAAAAAATACTTTTATTTTTTATAATTTATAAAAATAAATGATAAACTTTAGTGTTATATGTGTGACAAGTTTTGTTACATGTGACACTTTTAATAATTTAATAAAATTAAAACAATTTATTTTAATATTTACTATATTACCATAACTGAAATAAAGATAGAACTGAGTGGCACTTTTGTTTTATAGTTTTTTTTTAAAGCTTCTTTTTATACTTTATTTTATACATAGTTTCATTGTTCTGCACAAGGCACCAATCATTAATAGCCATTTCAGGAGATTGAGGAATTATTTTGGGAGCTAGCATGTTATTAATGTAGTTTATTTGAAAATCAGATGACTTTGAGTCACTTGTTTTGAAAAATGACAAGCATCCATTAAAAGCATTGACATGATGAATTTTTCGTATTCCCAGTGTTTTTTTTTAC